CCCATGTATTCACATAGTTCCTGGAAAAATATTTTAACAAAAATTCTACTAGATGATGTAGTGGTCTCTTCACTAAGCTTTATACATTCAAGAACCTAGAAATTAAAAGACAGAATAAAAATTATTTTTGTTTTAAAAGACAAGGACAAGTAGCTGACCAGTTCAAGCTCTCTCAGAATGACTAGGACTTTTCATCTTCCAGCAGCGTCTCTGAGTACCTTCCCTATCTGACATGTATTGTTTCTTGGCCAAGTGTAAGACTACTTCTCTACATTAACTTTCCAATGTTAGGATGGTGTAGAAATAGTTGTGTGCTTTTTCTTGAGGAAGGTACTTTTTATAGCAGAAAAGATATCCTGTCTTAGCATATAGCACCAAAGTAAAACTGCTCACAAACAAACTTCCCTCAGCAGAACATGGTGTATACAAGAAAATAGGCAAATCCATTAAGAACATTAAGTTATAGTTTTGTTTAGCACAATACACTAGAAAAAAGATGGAAAAATGATGGATGACATATCCTGAAAACTATGACAGCTTTTACAAACTAACTTGTGAACACAGATTTAAGAGATAAACAGAAAAAACAACCCTCCAGCTTTTATGGGTTATGTTCTGCAAGCCTATTTTGCCAATTGTTTAAAACTTGGCTTCTTTTTTAGAACAGGGGAAATGAAGCAAAGGGTCATGTTTCGCTGCTTGGTTGGCTTAAACGTGCCCATGAGTGTAGTCGGATAGACTTAGGACTTAAGTACTACAAACTTATCCAATACTCCTAAGGGAAGGAGCTTATTCTAATATGAGTTTGTGGTATTTTACAATGTCATCCTCTTCTTTCTTGGATGTGATTTTGTATTACAATAACTCTAGCAACCTTGCTTCACTTAGAGTATGAGACTTTTTATGGTGTATGGACAGTAATTCTGAGGCACAAGTGCCACCAGAAAAGGGGATACATGTCTCTCCTTGATTATGTGAGTATGGGCAAATATGCATAAAGATGTCAAACATGAAAACACATAGTATTTTCCCTGAAAATATTGCTAGTCATCACTACTAAAAAGCAGCATGGTTTGGGCATGTATGATCCACAGTAGTATTTCTTACACGTGTACATTATTTGACTTAGTCTTTTAATTCCATGCTACATGAATGTGTTTCAAAGATAACTGCTGCAATAAATGTGCACTACATATTTCATTTTAATTCATATTTACTGATAGGATAAGTACAGCCATGTCATAATTAATGCATATTTGAAAACAACAGGGGATTAGGAATGAAGAGCAAATATTGATCCAATTACTTACACTCCACGGAAGTGAATCAGTATATAAAAGATGGGCAAACATCTTCGCTACATTTCTCAACTTATTTGTCTCCAGGCGATGGATTGTATCATACTGTTCTTTAAATATACTTTCAAATGACTCCATATATTCTTTTCTCAGGATACAAAACCGCTACAGATAAGAAAACTCAAAGTCAATGCCAGCAGAAACTGAACGCCCGTACAACTGCACTTACTACTCCTAAATTTACTAATCATTGTCCACACCTTCCAAAACCATCTATCACCCAATCTTTCTGTGCTAAATGACGTTCAGAAAGTTACAGCTATACTTTCTATTTGGATTCATATGCTAAAATAAAATTATACATTTAGTTGATCCTAAACACATACACTCTGTATTATATAAATCTGCCATGTGAAGAGTTTAGAAATATTTTAGGGACTGGAAAGACAGATTAGTGTGCTCTTGCAGAGGACCCAAGTTCCCAGCAGCCATGTCAGGCAGCTCAAACAGTTTCAGAGATCCATCACCTCTGGCCTCTGCAGGTACCTGCTCTCATGTGCACACACCAATGTGTACACATACAAAGACACATAATTAAAAATGATCAAAGTAAACCTTTAAAATTTTTTACAACGTGATTATTCTGTGCTGACTAAACAGGTTCCTGACTTTAGTAATAGCTTTGAGTTTTTGAAGACATTTAGTTGTTTTTTATTGGGAAATTGTTACAAAGTATTTGTAATTTCAAAAAGTTGTAGAAAAATGATAGCAAATTTAATGTTTAGGAAATGAAGTGGAAAAGCAAGCTGACAGGCTTGAGCAATCTAAAGGAAGAACACTGTGCTCTCAGAAAAAAAAAGTGTGTTGTTTCAGTTAAGGGTAGACCAGGCCACAAAGCACAATCATTAATTCACTCTATTATTGCTGGGAATTTGGGGGGGGGGGGGCTTTTATTAAATCCTGACATGAAAAGCAAGGCTGTAACTCACCCCAGCTAGCAATCCAAAAAATTTTTCATATGTCCTTTGCTGAGCACAGCAATCAAGAATCATGTTGCAGAGTTCTTTCTGTTTGGAAAGAAAAAACGTATTAATGACTCAGAACACAATGGAGCTGTTTTATGATAACTTATGACCTCAACAGTGACTGTATTTTCAAACTAGAATTTTAAAAATCTTGAAAACGTCAAAATTATTTTTTAATACTTAGTCAATATCAAGCTTATCTTTTTTTAAAAGCCTTTAGTCTGGCTGATATCATCTAAGCTATTTATGATAATTTCATTACATATACAATTCTAAATTCATAAGTATGAATCATTTCTAAACAATCGGAGTGCATAAAGAAGGTCACAAGGCTTGACTGAATATTCCACCTTTAAAGACTTTTGTGTGGAATTCTTTTAAATTTAGATTCACCAACACAAATGCCTAACAATTTAGCTATAAACAAAACTGTTAAAGGAGATATTTAGATAGTATGGAAAAAGCTGACCATGAGTGTCTGCAGAAGCATAAATGGACACTTCAATTTCAACTTGGATGGACTCTATGTAGACCGACCTACAGAGAGATGGACGCTCTATGTACTTCCAAATATAAAAAAAGGGCATTGACATACTGTTTGGCTCTCAGCAAACTCCATCTTCAGTAATTTGTGCGCACATTCTTCAAAATCTAAACTGAGGAGAAAAGATGGTGACAATATGTTAAAAGCCTGCAGCAATAAATGACAGTGCTCTTTACAGTCCAAACATTACTGTTACTGTCTGAATGTAAACATGCAGAACAGCCCAGCACACAGAGCAGCTCTGACCCTACAATGACAAAGCAGAGCAGGCGACATCATGAGGAACCAGACACAGGCCACACACAACAGAATCCTAGCTTCTGAACAGGCAAATCCGTCCAGACAAGGAAGCGGAAGGGACCAGAAAGATGGCTAGTGGAAAGGGAATTCATTCTGGAGGGTCAAAAATAGTTTGGCAATGTTTGGACAACTTTGCAAATACTATAAAACCACTAATTACAGATAAGGAAGGATGAATTTTACAGTAATATCTCTCTCTCTCTCTCTCTCTCTCTCTCTCTCTCTCTCTCTCTCTCTCTCTCACACACACACACACACACACACACACACACACACACAC